GTTCTACGCACTATGGTTAGCCTTAAAAAGAAATATCATCAGGAAGTTATGAATACTCACACGAAGAAGATCTCACGGCTGCTCAACATCGAAATGGATGTTGACGAACATATTTTGAACCTGTCATCCTACAACCTCTCCTTTTTTCAGAAACTGGTCCTTTGCCGAGGATTAAAATTTGCCATTCCTCAACGTGTGTCTCCCATGGACGTTAAAGCAAGCTTTGAAAAGGCCTATTGGAGCCTTGAACCCCACCTCAATGATGATAATTTAAAGGAATTATCTGCAGCAACGTTACGTTTCGTTGCACTCAATTACATCGAACGCAAGAGTCCGAAACCTCCAAAGACATTGTTGAGAGCTATAGAGGAGTTAAAAGGACGCGACGACATAGTTATCACGAAACCCGACAAAGGGTCTGGTGTTGTGGTTCTAGACAAAACCGAATACTTGCGATTACTTTCTGAAGCCTCAGTCAATGATACAAGCAAGTTCCGTGCCGTTCCCCTGGAGAAACCCAAGACCAGGGGCAGACCATCCAAATATTACCACCCCCTACTACAAAAAGAGAAGATCCTAGATTCCATTGTTCGTAGAATTCTACCGAAGACCATTGCAGATTCCGTGAGCCCTACAGGTTCCAGATTGGCACATTTATATGGGTTGCCAAAAACCCACAAAGAACCATTGGCTATGAGGCCTATATTATCAGCCACCGACACGTACAACTTTCCCCTTGCTAAATGGCTCGACGAGAAATTGAAGCCCTTGTCCCTTAATCAGTATACAGTTACTGATAATTTTGATTTCACAAAAGAGATTCACGAGCTGAAGATCAACAAGGGTGAAATCTTGGTTTCGTATGATGTCTCCTCGTTATTCACAAACGTGCCTTTGGACGAAACAATAGAGATCTTGGTTAACAGAGCCTTTTCGAACAATTGGTTCAATACTACCCACAATCTTGCCCTTACCAGAACAGATCTTATTGACCTCCTAAACGTAGCCACCAAAGGCCAACTATTTCAATTTAACGGAGCTCTATACGAACAGACAGATGGCGTTGCTATGGGGTCCCCTCTCGGGCCCTTATTAGCAAACGTCTTCATGTCATCCATCGAAGATACCCTTGAGCGACAAAGAAAACTCCCATCCTATTATCGTCGATATGTTGATGATACACTCACTGTAATGCCTGATCTAGCAACAGCAACTACCTTCTTGCATACCCTCAACAGCGCCCACACTTCGGTCAAATTCACCATGGAGGTGGAGAAGAACAGCAAGCTTCCTTTCCTTGGCACCGAACTACTCAACCATGCACCTCGGATTGAAACCAAGGTATATGTGAAACCAACAAACACGGGCCTACTATTACACTACCAAAGCCATGTAGACAATCGCTACAAACGGAGCTTGCTGAAAACTATGCTGGATCGCGCACACCGATTATCTTCCTCCTGGGCCCATTTCTCTGATGAGTGTGATCGCCTAAAGAAAGTTTTCGCACGGCTTAAATACCCGGAACGCCTGGTAAATTCTACCATTAACACCTTCTTACAATCAAGAATTGTTGGTACGCAGCCCACACAGACGCCCAAAGAACCAATATCCATTGTTCGTGTGGTCATACCTTTCAAAGATCAGGAATCAGCAAATTATGTTAAGAAAGAGCTCAAGAATCTTAGCATGAAGGTGCAGACAACTGTCCAGCCAGTATTTGTTAGCCGCAAAGTTGGCCAAGATCTTAAAGTACGAGAAATCAAGCCACAGATTGTCAACCAACAACGCGTCGTTTATCAATTTCAATGTGACCTGTGTGATGCGGGTTATGTGGGCTATACACGCGGACACTTACACACACGCGTGGATGGACATAAACGAAAGGCATCTTCAATATATAAACACTACCACGAACGGCACAGCGAAGTCCCGAAAGACCTACTGAAACGTTTTAGCATTCTGAAAAAGTGTAGTAACAAGTTCGATTGTTTGGTGAACGAAATGCTTTTCATCAGAGACTTAAAACCCACTCTGAACGTGCAAAGCGATTCAATTCGCGCAAAAGTATTTGTTTAATTAGCTCGTAACATATTTATGCTAATTTAGTGTTACACCTTGCCACAAACTTTATTTTTTATTTCTCCTTGACAATGGCGTCATGATGACACCGAAACGTCGGTTTTTATCGTTAGTTTTTGCTAGTCTTTGCATTTCTAAATCTTTATTGATAAGGATTTTCACTATTTGCTTAAAAAGTGCCCTTTACTGTGAGGATCGTGCACAAATACGTTTCTATAACCGCAGTTCAGATATAAGAATTTCATATATTTGTTGTGTATAATCCACAGGACGTAAGTGGGCGGAGGAGGTCAGTTGAGGTTGGTGATGAGGACTTGTAAAAGACCAAAACCCAGAACTCCAATCACAAAAAAAGCCAAAACTAGACACATTTCCTTCTTTGAATTTATTCATAAGAAACACCAATCCCTGTGGTTTGCGTGAAATAAAATAAATAAATGAATAGATATTTTCGAAGCACTAACCGATAATTGGTCATATCTTGAAGTTTGTTGTACTTTATGCTGTCGAAGATATACTCAGTAGAGACATAATCAGACAAGTTACCGACAGTCCCAGGAGCAGCAAGCCTACAAATCGAACACAAACCAATTAATTAGATGGCATTTGTTATCCTGTTTTTTTTTTTTTTTGCTTTCTTTAATAGCACGAATGCATACACACAGCAATGGAGCATGGAGATAACTTGAAATTTCTAAATTTTGTTTGACGAATTATACCTACTTGATAGAGTCGGCTGAAACTTTACTAGAAAGTTGGCCACCTCCATACTGAAAGAATATCATTCATAAAAACAATAAGTTGAGCATAAACACAACAACAGAGTCAATTCATCGAAATAATAATTATTTGCCTACGTTGACGCGCGTCGCACCTCAAAGGTGAAACCAGAAGAATCGAGCTCCTTGAAAAGATCTTCAAGGCAACTTACGTGTATAAGTGGTCGCAAACGGGTTTTCATTTCACATGGTGTCATGTAAAATTTCATTTGTGATCCATCATTCGAAAGGAACAGAGTCGAGCACCTCGGAAGCTCATCCTTTCCTTCGTTGTCATCCGCCATCTTAGAAATAATTCCCGCGTTTCATAAGGTACCTCGATATCATGCACTAGACCGTAAGAGCCTGGTGAGTATAATAACAGCTCCTATAATACTGCAACAATCACAGCCTGAATTGTAGACGACCTTGGCATTATTTCCAGATGGACATGTCATTTTCTCTTCTATCTCATCTCATCAAAGTTGTTTTCACCATGTTTCTCTGTGAGCCAGTTTCCAGTGGGAGGAACATTATTGGATGAAGAAGGGGGCAGGGGGTTTGCTAGATGGGTAGTGACTCACACTTTGCCTGACATACTTACCCTTGGGATGTCATAATAACCTTTATTTTGTATCATGAGAACAAATACAGTGGTTATTTTGTCAATCACATGTCAGTCACATAAACAAAGAGACAATAAAGAGAGGTAAATTCAACAGAAAGTTACCAAAATAATAAAATTCTTCTTTTAATTGATGTTCATGTGCAATAAAACAGCTTCAAATGGTTCTCTCTTCACTACCATACATTACTTTGCAAGTGCATGCTATAGACATTCTTCAAAAGGTTTTACATTTGCATTTAACAATGTCTAGTAAACTTCACATTTATACACAACATTTTCTTAAATAATTATTTTTCCAACTGCTTCATTTGCCAAAGTCCATCATTCAAGAAGTGTATCACCTCAATACCAATTCCTTTGTTAGTGTCTCGTCTGCAAAGGCAAAAAAATGCACAGGCAAAAAAATGAAAAAGCTGAGTGCTCCTCCACAAAAATTCCCTTTCCACTTAATAAGGAGATATTTTCTGCTGAAGCCTTTTGTTTTCCTCCCCTTTTTTCAAATTTCTTACAACAAAATTCATTGAACATCTACCTCATCTGTTAAAAAGGAAACAGTTCCTCCTCAATACTACATTTTTACTAGTCTCACTTACATTTCTCCCGCAGACATTGCCATTTTTCCTATTGCTAGAGCATGTTGTTTTCCCTCAGCAGTTATAGCCTTAGCTTGAGTTAGGGCATACAAAACATAACAAAAAAAGATGAAAAGGGATGAAAGAAAATTGCACAGCTTGACGAAAATACTGCTACATTAAACTATTAATTCTACAGTATAGGAATTCAAGGTACAAGGTAATTCTGTAATCTTTTCAATTCAACAACCTAAATATCAAAGTCTCTCCTGAGGAAAACAGCTTGTTTCTTTGGTATAGAGCAAGCAAAAGCTTCCTTATGAAGCCCAAAAAAAGCTTGCCTTCATGGATAGAAGGTTTAGACTTCCAATATCCTAATAGTTCCTGTGTTCCAAAATCCATTTAAAGAATTTGACTAAAGATTGGGTCAAGAGAACCATCATCCTTTGGTAGCTTTTTGTAAGAAACTGACCGGAAAAATCCAAACAACTTTATCAGAAAAGACTAACATAGATAGAAAAAGGAACCACACTAGATCATACAGAGGTCTACAGCTATATAATTTATAAACTACACCCCTCCCCTTGGACATAAATCATTGGTAAACTTCTTCATTCATCCCTCTCTCTTCCTAAACCTACATTGCCTGTAAACTTTACCCTTTGTCAAAAACCTATTTTATTTTATTTGTAAGGGTAGGAAGAAGAGAAAAAAGCTCTTGTAAGGAGGGCTAGGTCATTCATTATCTAAGAAAGGATACAACTACTGCTCCCTTAGGTAAGTCTGCAAGCTTTGCTCCTGGACTGGTCAAACCTCTGCACATTACATTTGCACCACTAAGTAGAAATTTGATTGCTCCTTTGTCAACTTGTTGACAAGGTAAAATAACCGGATCTAGGCAGAACAAAATTATCACATATCAAGTTCTATAAGCAATGTAAGTCACTGTTGCAAAAACAAAAATATAAAATTACAAGGGTTAAAATATGGCAATAAAGGATTAATTTTTTTTTTAACCACTAGCTAGTAATTTTGATAACACATCTTCTGGCAGACATGCAGATACTTTCTAATGAAATATATTTAATATAATAATTAGTATTTGGTACCTATTTCAAACTCTGCACTTTCAGAAAAGCAGAAAAAAAGAAAATTCAGGGCTCCAAGCTGAATTTTTGTACATGTATAAGACAACAACAACAACAACAACAATGACCTGGTAAGTTTCCCCATAAGTGTATTATTGTTGGGAGAAAGAAAGCTGTTCACATAATTATTAAAAATTTTTCTCAACAACTTACATTTGTGTAAGAGTCTAAGAGATGGCAAATAATCTCCTCTTTGTCTGAAGAAAAGAATCTCTTGGTTGATGGATAATATTTCTATATGCTCATGACTATAACAAACAATACAAAGTGTTAAAATGTGACAAGTGATTTCATTCAGTTTGTTATAAACACACTCAGGTATATTATCCTCAGTGACGTATCGACTAAATATAAAGTGATTAAAAAAACTCCAACAAAGTATTTTGTGAAAACAAGCAAGGCATACTTAATTGGCTTGTTAAGGGGTCTGTTAATGAACACTCCCAGTTATCATAAGGCTATTTAGTAAGCATTTTGTTTAATCGTTCACAGAAGATTGTTCTTGGTTAATCCTACCAAATGAAGTTATGACTTACCATTTAACAAGTACTAGTGGCTCCTTCTTTGGAAATATTTGAGCTATGTAATCATCAATAGGAGGGAATTGATCAACCAATTTGGTTTTTATTCCACGCTGGACAGATGACTTCACTTGACTTACTCCCGATACCGACTCTCTTGCCTGAAATCTTAACATGAAAATTACAATTTTGTTGACAAACAACCGTTAAGATTCTTGGTGAATCGAGTTGCCTTGATTAAATTTTCGGGGAAACAATAATGAGGGTGTTCGAATAAAAGCAAAATCTGAACTGTCCAGAATTTTGCACTTTACTGATCTTACTAGCTTAGCTGATCGAGCTAAGGTCTTCTTGAAATCTACCGATGATAAGAAAAGTTGTGGAAAGTCTTTTTTTCATCCTCAAATTTTAAATCAATACAAATCACCGGATATATATAAAGCGAAAGATATCACCACTCAAGTAAACCATCAGAAACTGTAAAAGCTCAAGGACATTTTTAGCTTACTTTTTAAACATACTCCAACAGAATGCAGATCAATTACTCGCATGGCAGGCTCGTTTTTGATGATAGCTTCCAGCGGTTTTCTTTCCAAAACAAATGCGCCAGTCATCTGCGATCTACAGCAATCAGCTGTTGCACTTTTTAAGAAAGCACGTTTATGTAAAATACACATTGAGTGCCAAAACATCTAAATCATGGCGACAGGTCGGGAGACCAGAAGTAATCCAGTTCCCAAATTTGCCACAGGAGAAAAAGTCCTTTGCTACGAGCCTGATCCTAACAAGGCTCGAGTATTATATGAATCGAAGGTTTGTTTTAGTAGAACCATTTGTTGGAAAATCTTTCCTCTATCGCTTCTCTAGCGTATCCAGGTTTTTCATACAGTTGCTTGTTATGATAATCAGCGTCCGAGCGGATTCTAATCGTTCTAATTCAAATAATCCGCGGTCACCAAATGACCTTTGTTGATGTTATGTCACTCTTAATCAGGTTCTAGAAGTTGATATCACTAAAGATGACAAAGGAAAAAGAGTTCCAGAATATTTCATTCATTTTAATGGTTGGAACCGAAGGTAAATCACGATCAGTCTATACTGTTGATGTAACATTTCATTACCAACCAGTGATCAGTGCAAAGAAGGAAGGTGTAGGCTATGAGGATCAAGTGGTGGTATCGTTTTAAAATAGAAATTGTCATAGCTCAAGGACTATAAATGAATTTCTTTGCCAGGGTCATCCTCGGTGTAAAAGCCTGACGAGGTTTTCTTTGTTTCATGAGGTATTGTTTATATGTTTTGTTGTCTTTGTTTTACGTCACTCGGAGCTTCACAGGTTTTTACACCGAGGATGAGCCGATTTTCTCATTTAACCTAATTCATGTTAACAAAACAATTTTTATTTTTACCAGCTGGGATCGCTGGGTTGTAGAAGATCAAGTTCTAAAAGATACGGAAAACAACAGATCACTCATGATCAGACTCCACGAGCAGGCACTGAAGTATGTTGTTAATGATATAAATTTAGTTCTATTTTAAGAAGAGCTTTATGATCAATTCAATGGAATCTTAATAGGTGCTTAAAGTTATTCTACATGTTTTCAAAACTTTTATTGCTAGAGCGAGGATTAAAAAGAAGAGGAGGTTTCTTCAAGGTTCAGAAAGCAAGGACTCTGATGATACTAGCAAATCTGAAAGAAAATCAATTTCAGAAGTGGTTGGTGTGACTCCAATGCATGTTGAAAGACTTTTTTTCACTTGTTTTCTTTGGTTTGTTGTTTTTTTGCAACTGTTGCTTTTTTTTTGTCTTTTTAGTTTGTTTTGTTTCAAATCAGAGAATGTAATGCACCTTATGTGAGTTTTAGTGGCTTGATCAATAGTATCTGGGAACTCATGACAAAAAAAATACTGTTTTAAAGGTGGAAAACCCAGAACTACCAAAAGTTGAAATTGAAATACCAAGTCAGTTAAAACTGAAGCTTGAAGATGACTGTTATTTTATTAAAAGAAAAAAGAAGGTAATTAAACCCTAGAACTTAAACGTTTATTACAACCATTTTAAAATGAAATATATAGTTAAAATAATTTATGATCTTAAGGCTTGCTTTCTATGACCTTCTGATGGTCATTCACTGAGAGAAGTTGCTTAAAGTCACTAGCATTTGTATTTTTCCCAATGTGTGACCAGGATGGTTTAAAATATCTTATGAATCTGTCAGATTTCAAGTGTAAGGATGTTACCTATTATTGTTCGAGAGGGCTCCCCCACCCTAACTTCTTGAATTTCCCAATATCTTTTGTATCTTCCCTGAAAAGAAAATATCTCTGGAGCCACACAAGTCAAAATAATTGTTGTTATGGTTAACACCATGTCACATTTTTATACACCTGTGGATAAGGAAGGAATTTAATTATAGGCAATCAAAAATCTGCAATAATATATTTTTTTAGTCAGAAGCATCTTCAGCAGCATGCCAGAATCTTGAATTTTTTAATCTGATTGACTTACTGCAGTCCAGCTTTTTGTACAGACCATGGTCCAGATTTTTTTTGCACGATTTACATAAAAGCTGAAAAAAGCAAACCAGCAGAAAAGAATAAAGTAAGTTATTTACTGACCTAGGTCGGTCTGTATGGGGAGACAATGTGCCCTTGGTTTGAAGTATGATCCTTGGCCTTGCCTTGGGCCAATTTAGGCAGTACCCAAGACCCTCAGCATATTTATTTTCTGATATAGACCTCCCTCCAAGTAAATTATTCATATTTTCTTTCCAGCTTGTGCAGCTTCCCCGGACACCAAATGTTGTACAAGTTCTTCAAGATTATTTCCAGCATTATCAGGAATTTTACCCTGGACAGAGGTAAATAACACAAATGTCCATGGTTAGTTTTCATATAATCAAATTCTTAGTTTTAAAGTAGCTTCGAAGCATTTGCCCATCTTAGTATTTATCAGCCTTGTAATATTAGACCAATAATTGTCAACTCTTTATTAACCCACAGCTCAAACTTGGTCAAAGAGGCGATGGATGGTCTCCGCATTTATTTTGATTTTACTCTTCCAACTTTGTTGCTTTACAACTTTGAACGTGAGCAATATCAAATGGTCATGAACTTCACCCCGCACTCTGAGGAAACTAAGGACAGACATCAAGAAGAATTAAATGGAAAAACACCAACAGATGATAAATATGGAATAGTTAGTTCATCCACAGAAAGCTCTCCTGTAAAGCAAGATTTTGCAAACATTTTTACAAATCAGACTGAAACAAAGGAAGGAGAAGGTGTGCACTTCCAAAATAATTGAAGGTTAAAATGAATTCAAACTAGTTTGATTTGTGTTTTACCCTGTATAAGGATTGTAGTAATAGATCTGGAAAAAAGGAAATACAAACCAAACTAGCTTTTACCATTTTGACCAGAGAGTTATGGTAAACTACAACTAATCTATTCTCCTCGCTAATTATTAAAACTGCTATCATGTTTTTCTAAGAGGTTGATTTATAATGATCAGTAGGTAATTACATCTCCCACACTTTTCTCTCCATTAAATGTCTTTCCCTTCCCTTTCACTTTTGTTCTCTTACCCATTTGATGGCATTACATTAGTTGTCCCTAACACCACCCCCACCCCCACCCCCTAATATGTGTGTTCTTTGTACACCCCATGACTCTTACTTTACTTGCACACTGGACAATGACTCATAAGAAATTGGAAGGTCTGAGAACAGACTTAATATTATCAGAATATAGCCAAGTAAACTACTTTTTTGTCTCCTTTCAAAAAATGATAAAGGAAATTGTGGGTATTTTAATTTTTTAATTGATTGTAACTGTAAAGCCCCTGACATCAATCACGTTTCGTACTGAACTGAATTGAACTAACCAAAAAAGTTAACTTTCGTGATCTATCAGGGTAGTGTGAATACTTATGCATCATTAAACCTGGATAGCAGAAATTAAGAAGATTTTCATGTTGTTTGTTTACTTTTTTTCGTTCAGCCAAACAAGAAAGACTTCTACGTCGGCGCACGCCCAGAAATCTATCAGCAAATGTTGAGGCTTCCCAGTCTGCAACAGTGTCATCCACTTCATCGAGCCCAGAATGCAATGCTTCTGCTCTAAAACGGGTCGGTTATCAGTGTACCATTTAAACAATAGAGTGTTTCTGTCGAGGAACTATCGGTCTGATAGTTGCCCCTTGGAAATTTGATGTTCCTAAAACTACCATATTTGCCCTCGAAGCTTCGCTTTTCAGGCAAATATTTGTTTTAAGAACATCAAATTTCCGCGGGGCAACTATCACCCGATAGTTCCGAGGCGTAAACACTCTATTGTTTTTATTGTTCACTACTAAATTTTCTTTCGCGCCTACAGCTTGTCACAAATGTCAATAATTCGCAACCGTACATAGGCTAAATAATACGTTATAGCTGTCAGAATTGAAAAGTCACTGTTTTTCCGATCTGCCTAACTTCGCGGACGTCAAACTATTCAAAACTTTTCAAGGATGAGTACTATCAATCCAGGTATTTTCCGCGGACGGGCACTATCCATCCGGGTATTTTCCGCAGGCGGGCACTATGGGCTGATAGTGTCTCTCCACGGATGAACACTATCGCGTCACGTGATCGATTTAAACCAATAAGAACCGGAGAAAATTTAGTGGTGAACTATAAACTGTGATAGAAAAGGAGCGATTGCCTCCTATCTAAACCTCCAATCCATTAGACCATGAAATTGAAGCTTGGCCGAGCGTAACGAAATTAAAAAGCCGTATCACATGAAACAGTATCGTATGCGCCAGAAAAAATCTTCAGCTTTTAGATTAATAAGGAATATCTTCCTTGAGTAAATGAAAGTAAGTGAAAGCCTCAGATGAATTTTACAAACAGTCTTTTCTTTATACAGAGTTTGCTCATTTTGGTGTGTTTACCGTGAAGTCCTCCATTTTCTCATTTGAAATACGCATTAATCTTTTCCATTCTGACCTATCCTCGACAAAGGATATTTGAAAGTTTTGTTCTGCTTAGAGTCAATTCTCTGTGACGCTTGAAGTGATTCAAAATATCAGTGAGATGCCCATGGAGTGTTATTGTTTTTATTCCTCAGAAAGCAGTGGAAATAGAAGACAATTCTTCTCACAGTACAGCAGCACCATTCCCAAGTTCGCCCATTCCCAGCTCGCTGAGTATATCTACTCACATGATGCCCTCACAAATCTATGGACCGGAACATTTATTAAGATTATTCGGTAAGTTGTTAAGGTATTTTAGTAGAAACAATGACTGTGTAACACTTAAATTGCCATTTTTATTTTTCAGTTAATGTTGTGAGGTTTTTTATGCTTGGAGAGCCAGGATTTTCTTGGAGGACCTATTCAATCCGATGTCACACTAATATTTCCCCAGGATTTCCGAAATTCTTCGAAGACGGCGGGAGGAGTTCCGTCAAAACTTTGTTTAATAATCACCCCTCGATATAGTTATGAAATCCTCATTGTAATGATATAATAGCAAGATCAGTTAAAAAGGTACATTTCACATGTGCGTTAAACGCTATCATATTTTCCCTTGTAGTCAAACTACCTGGCTTGTTAGCAAGAACAGATATGCCTGAGAAGAATCTCGATGCACTCTTGGAGCAAATAAATACCTTTCTCAGGTAAGTGCACTTATAGTTTCTCACACCTGGCCTTCCTTGCTAATTGACTAGTCATTTCTTAGACCATATATTTCCCTGATAAATGCAAATAGATTTTATAAGGAAATAAAATTTATTGCAATCAGTGCAACTGAAGGAAAGACTTTGTATTACCCCATAGGTAAACTATTCGCCATTTTTTTTTTTTTTTTACTTTTTAAAATAACTGTATGCATATAGCGAAGTATGGACCTGAAAGGAAACCTTTTCTGGCTAAATTTGGGGAAAGCGAGGATAGTGATTTAACCCTAAAACCCTAAATTTTTCGGTTTCAGTTTGTCATTAAGGTTGAATTATTTGCATGCTGGTAGCTTTAAAATTTCATTCGAGAAATGATAGTTTCCTGATTTATTTTTTCGTGTGTAATTGTAGGTATCTGGCCGAGAATTCAAACAATCTATTCCCAGAGGACGTTTATTACAACTCACTGCTCTGAGGAGAGGGCTTGAAGAGCTTGTTTACGTTTCTTTTCGGAAAACATCAACAAGAAACATTGCTTCGTTTTCTTCTACACAGACCTTACGGTTTCCCACTTCTATCATTGATCATTCCATTTGTAAAAATTCATTCGTTCAAGTTCCTTTTGATCGGGTGTTAATCTGTAGACTACAAAAAAAACTTTCATCCTTTCTGTCGGCTGTAAATATCTTTTCATGTACGTTAACATATGAATATAATTAATATTAATTTATTTCATGACTTTGCTTGTAAGGGACATTGGTTTTTTGTTAAGAATCCTTCGTTTGTTAATAAAAAAGCTTTTAATTAACCGACTTGTGAGATCATTCCAAGCCTCTGAGTACGCTTAAATAAATCAGAGCGCATTTGAATGGAGTTAAATATAACGAAAAGCAGCCATGGACCGAAGCGAGTCAACCCACAGAACTATTATTACTTTTTGATAGCCTGCGAGACTCAAAGGTCTTGCGTGGAAACGAGGCGAGTGGACAGCCAGTCCAAGATGGCGCCTAAATGTTTTGATGGCTATCCAGTAAGTAGCGACGCGAATAGCATGCATTCTCCTAATGTCGAACGTAATAGAAAGTTGTCACCCATTTTCTTAAGCTTTGCCAGTAGAGATCAAAGTGAAGATGTGAGGTATAGGCCGGCAGAAGACGCAGGAAGACGTTAATTTGTCAAGAACATCGATCTGCATGTATCCTTTATGGTTGAGTCTTTGACCTCTTGCTTTAAATAGGATTTGGTCTTTGGATTCTTTTGGTGTCACGCGTTTTGAGACTTGCTTAGAGACCTAAACAGAATTAACAAACCAAAGATCGCATCAGATTTTCGAGAAGTAGTTTATTTGAAGAAATGTGTTAAACTGTACATTCAGAACTTCCACATGAAACGCTGTATTGTACGAGACACTACAAGCCGTTGCTAGACACTGCTAGCCTTCCCAATTATCACGACTATCTTCAAAATTTCTTATGTTCGCTATATCTTTGTTGGTGCCGTAGTCTCGATAGCAAGCTAGACAAGCTTGAGCACAGGGTACTAAAACCAGGTTGTCAGATTTATGATCGGTAGACGTGTAATTATTTTTTCTGCCAGATCCACAGGAAACAAAATATGACACGCAGGCTTTCGAGCGAGCTCGAAACGTCAGAATTTTTATTCGTTACGGTGGCCAATTTACAATTTAAACTTAGTTGATAAAACCAATTAAGCTTTCGAGCAGTCGAGTCTAGATATCACAGAATTGCGTGACACATGAAACATTTTCCCCTTTTCGGATTGCGATGGATTTAGTAAGTCCTCAAGGTTATTCCAGAGGAAGAGCAACAACCAGAAATTTCACTTAAGATTAATTTCGACTGATACATCTTTCTGAAAGAGTTTTAAGTAAATATATATTATGAGCACTGAGAAAGGCACATCTCAGTTGGACAAGGTATCACCACTTCCCAAAGCTGAAAAGAAACTTGAGTAAAATGAGTGAGAAATGAAATAGCAATCACTTAATAGTTTAGTGCTTTTTTCGGATTCGCTTTCAAAATTCCTAACCAAAATATGGACAAGAGAAAATGATGTGATTTCTCTTGTCTAGGTACCTGTGTGTTGAAATAATGAAGCTATTGAACTCTTTGAACTCTCAGTAAGTACCTTGCTGGGGAACTCGTGAATACTTTTCCTTCTATTAATCGATAATAATATCTATAGCTGTTAAAACAGTGTCTCGCGCCTCAGCCCACTGTAATCAAAATCCAGAGTTTGCCAACAGATGTGAAGCAGACTGAGACATTTTTTATTCGCATGTTAAACTGACGAGTCTGCGTGTATATCAGCTGTGAACACAACATTTTGTCCGGGTGTAGGTTGACGATTCAAATGTTTGAAATCTTTTTAAAGAGCAAAATGTCGTTTTTAGGTTCTCTCCTTTGTAACCAGTAAGAGAGACCCTAGAAGCGAGGTTGTGAGAAACATATTTGCTTCCAGTGCTGAACTGATTACATTGCAAGAATTAGGATAACATGGCTTCAGTGTCAGTCAGAAAAGCCACTAAGCCATTTATACAGACATATTTACAGACATCAACTGTGTTAAAAGGAAAAGCAAATGTATCACTGCCGGACTCGAACACTTGAACAAAACACACTGCTGTAGAAACAAGGAAAGTGTACCCCAACCATAGTAATGCTGCCACCCGGAAGGTTCCGGAAAATCTTAATTTAAAGACGTGCTTTACACCTCTTAATAAAAGTTACTCTCGGCAGATAATAGCAATTAGAGAAGTGTAAACGTAGTGTTCAAATGATAACTTGAAACAAAAGCAAAATGAAACCATTAAACAGCGAAGACGCACCTTAAAATATCTCACCCTCCTTCGGACTGTAAAGAAATAAATCCAATACCATAGCTACTTGTTCCCTTAATTCACTCTCCTAGGCCATAGTTAATTATGCCTAGGCCCACCGTCACGTACGGAGGAATACTAATTTAAGCTGGTTCAAGATTGTCACACATCATATGCTTTATAATGACAGCAGAAACGAGAAGTGAAAAATTGTTTCAGTGTTGTTTTTGGACTGTATAACGATTCCAAGTTCATGTGCGGAAAATAGACGAAGATCAATAGATTGCTTATCAAAACGAGATTACTAAAAGGATGTATTTGAATTATTTCTGTTTTTTATATTCTCAGCCATAAAATGAACCAATTACAAATACTACGTCGAATTACTAAAAACGAAATTTGTGAATAGTTGTTTGGACTTTACAAAATTTCAAAAGGTCTACTTTGAGGAAGGTACTTCATGCCTAGTGAATACCACTTTCTCTTTGCTTACCATTCTTCATTTTGTCAAAAGCCAGGGTTTACACAGGTGTGAGACCACAGTAGGACCAGCTTTCCTACTTATGTAAACGTTTCTCTGTGCTCAGGCAGCTGCAAATACAACAATCAGCTCAGGTGCAGACTGAATAATGTTTAAAATCTCTCGTAAGGTTTCTTACAAGACTACAGTGTTAAAATTACTCAAGGGCAACAATCGAGCGAGTTAACTCTGTGAAACTAGAACTGTGTGCCACTCAACCAAGGTAATTCACTTATCTTTCAGTATTCTCGTTTGTGTTTTCCCTCTCCAGTAAGATCAATGTTGTAAAAAATTATCGAAGAGACTACAAATCAAACTCACTCATGGAAGGAAGTTATACTCAAAATTTCTCACCTGGTTTTCTGTGAAGGGTTCTTAACGAAGAAATAGTGAGGCTAACAGGTAGTGTACTAAATACAAATTAAGGAGGAAAGCAAATTATCGCAAACGTAACTTGCGTATTTATGTTGGATTCAGATCCGAAAAAAAAAAATCTTCCGAAAAAGGGGTGTTACCCAATCCTCCGAAATTTAAGTTGGCACAGGCTATCCTGTAACAATTTGTTTGTCGTTGTTGTTGTTGTTTTATTCCAGAAAAGAATCCGTTTCGTTGAAAATGCAAGCCTTAACTGTGTTGTTAGCCTTGATGGCTGTGTCAGCAACTCCTAATGCATACCACCGAGTGTGTTATTACACAAACTGGGCCCAATATCGACCAGCGGGGGCCAAGTTCTTCCCAGAGGACATTGACCCATTCCTCTGCACACATATCATATACTCGTTCGCCAAGATCAACCAACAAAACATGATTGCTATGTATGAATGGAACGACGATGAAATGTACGTCCGATTTAACGACTTGAAGAAAAAGAACCCAGAATTGAAGACACTTTTGGCTGTTGGTGGTTGGAACCATGAGAATGGAAAGGTTAGTCCATTCTCGCGCATGGTCAACACGGCCGCCTCACGGAAAGTTTTTATTGACTCTGTTAAGAGGTGAGAAGCTTAGTGTGTTAAACATTCCAATTTAAAATCGTTAATTCAGACTCGTATTCCGCTTCGCTCTTGTTTCGGGTTAGACAAGAATGCAGTTGACACTGGCATCTTTTCAGAGAAAAGAGAACTCAGTTCATGATCATTAAATTGGCGGATTTACCGTGTAACAATACGGAGTAGATTTATTGTGGGATGAAAAACATTCATTGCGAATGATGTTAAGAGTTTTGAAACACTATTCTTCAATTTGGAAATAGTAACCAGCAAACAAATGCGATGAAATAGCACTGTAGTGTTCTTGACTGGTTCGCAGTTTCAACTTAAAAAAGTAAACCTGTGCAATGCCACGTATAAAAAATTTTCCTTCCTGAAACTTGTTTTTGCTCAGGTTTGTTCCTACTCATTTCCGCGCTCACTCTCCTTATATAGTTTGTTGAGACAGTACAAATTTGATGGACTTGATCTGGACTGGGAGTATCCTGGAAACCGCGGCAACTCTCCACCTGGGGACAAACAGCGCTTCACAATCCTTTGCCAAGAGCTTCTCGCTGCTTTTAAGGAAGAGTCAGCTGAGAGCGGAATGCCACGACTTCTACTAACAGCCGCCGTGGCCGCTGGTCATTCAACAATTAACAAAGCATACGAGATCAGCAAATTAGCTGGCATTTTAGACTTTATAAACCTGATGGCATACGATCTCCATGGAAGCTGGGAACCCCAGACAGGGCATCACACTGCCCTGGAGGGTCCCCCAGGGGATAAACTAACAGTCTCCTACGCAGTGCAATATTGGATGGATAAGGTAATATTTGATTTTAACAAGGAAGCATATCTTCAATCAATGAGTTACCATTGTTTTCTGACATAAGTTGCATTTTTTTTGCAGAATTGCTTTAGTCAATGATTCTTCGAAGTATCGAAATCCACCGAGGAGCTAAAAAGTTCTGGAAATAATGAACTTGTTAATTAGTCAGGTTTCTGGAATCTAAGCGTTGCACTTGTAGATTATTTTCCGTGAGATTGGTCAGGTTACATTTGCAGAGTCGAACCACTTGTACGTTTGCACTCTTAATTGTGTTCTTTGTTATTACTCAGGGTATGCCGTGTAAGAAAATCGCTTTAGGATTAGGAACTTACGGTCGAGCATTTAAACTTGTCAACCCGAATGAGAATGGACTGGGAGCTTCGACCAAAGATAAGGCTGCCCCAGGGAAATACACCAGAGAAGGGGGATTCCTGTCCTATTACGAGATTTGTACAATTGGTCTGACCGTGGTACAGGACAATACAGTGAAAGCCCCGTATGGATACAAAGGAGACCAGTGGGTGGGGTACGATGATGAGATGAGTTTGACATTGAAAGCGAACTCTCTCATTAAGGAGAAAAATCTGCTGGGTGCCATGTTCTGGGCGCTGGATCTGGATGATTTTAAGGGTTCATTCTGCGGTAAGGGGAGGTAAAAATACCACTTTTCTTCTTAGCTTTGATTTCTTTTAAAACAAAAATAAAAAGAGTTCGCAGCCGTGCTCTTTGATCAGTTAATGTAATAAAACGTAGTCTAGTAGAATAGTTTCGACAGAAACTGTTGTACTTCGTCTAACTAGACAGATAGTCAAATTGTGAGGAACTCATGTTAGAACTCTGCAGTTTTCTAAAATTCTAATTTAATACTTGAGTCAAGCTTTAAAAGAAATGAACGATATCTATATCGTTGTTCTCTTGCCTCGTTCAGAAAGCGTTGAACATGTCCCATGCTGTAAGTCAATTTGAAAGCAGTCTGTTGTTTTTATTCATTATCTACTGACTTCATGCCTGTCTCACTAAGGTATCCTCTGATGAATGCCGTCAAACAAGCATTAGGAGGAGAAGGCGGAGAAACAAGACCGCCCATCCCCTCCCCATGGCCAGAGCCTAGCACCCAGGGCCCCACAGCTGGGCCTCCCACTGCTGAACCTCCAGTTGGATCTTGCCATGCCATAGGGTCGTGGCAAGGGAATGCAGGCATGGATCAATGGTGTAATGAAAACTGCGTCAAGGGGAACTGTCCAGAGTATTTGTGTGCATGTAAAACTTGAGAAAGCAAGTGTCCTTCCATTGGACCAGAAAGTATCAAACTAATTATTGTAGTAAGGGAAAAAAGAACACTTATTAAACGTTGAACTGGAAGGAACTGGTGCTCTCTTTTGTGACGATCTATTTTTTCCAGCCCGTTCAGTCATTTGGCAAGTTAAGTCCAAGTGACATTTTGAAAATCATCTTTAAGGAACAGGCATTACTTATCGCCGGGGAGGAGGGGGGAAGGGTTGGAGGATTTTTATCCTGATCCCGCCTTAAGGTCCAATGATATTCTTATGAACCCTCCCCCTTCATCAGCAGTTAATTAGAAGTTTTCTTTGGTCCCGCCTCGTCTATATGCTCTGCTCTCTTTCCCTAAAAACCATGTGATCTGCCCCAAAACCTTACACCCCACCCCACCCCGGCGATAAATAGTGACTGTTCCTCATGTTTATTATGGATTTGTTCAAACAGTGTTGGGTAAGTCTCAAGTTAAAAAATATATAGCGTCGGAGGTCGTGACGAAAGGTGGTGCTACATTCAAACATTTATACACTTTCTCATTGTCAAATCCGCGGCTTTTTCTTTTGTTTTATTTGTTTGTTTGTTTTTCTTTTCTTTTCTCTTTTTTTTTATTCTCTTTCGTTTTCTCGAGGCACGTACTTCGAGGACGAAATTGCTTGATCGATGATCTTTTGTACGACGAATGATTTGTGAACGAAATGAAATTGAGCAAAACGATTTCCTTAAATTGAAGTTTTGATCGGTGATTTACTCCCGGCTGATGTTATTCTGTCAAATTCTCGCCGAATTTGTAAGAACCTCACATTTAGCTCCCAGTTAGCTCAATGGATAGAGCGCTGGACTGTTGTACGGGAGGTCGAGGGTTCGAGCCCCGGCTGGACCAATACTCAAGGTCTTAAAATAATTGAGAAGAATATGCTTCCTTTCTATATCATCAAGAAATGGTTAGATATTCTAGTCTTCTCGGATAGGGACGAATAAATGGAGGTCCCGTCTCGTGCAGGGTTAGGAGTAGGAGACGTTAATTTCCCACGCACGAGATAACTGTGTGATGGATGTCCTTCCCCGGGGTGGGATGGGTGGGTTGGGTTTAGGTGGATGAACCTAGTAGGGGACTACGTGTCCTATTGTTCTTCCACCTGTACAATGTACAAATCTTTAGAAACAATTTCTGGTATCCTTCATTTCAGGGGACGTCATTTTAACTCTGACATGAGCTAAAGTATGATGATATCCATCTACCGAAAGAAAACTTTCACAGGTCTCTACTCGAAATGGGATTCTTTCACCCCACGAAAGTACAAAATAAACCTCATCCGCTCCCTCACTTATCGCTCCTACAGTCTTTGTTCGTCTGGCTCCTTGCTACAATCTGCCCTCAGTGATCTTCGAAAACTCCTTCAGAACGTTTACCCACAACGATGTGTTGAACAAAAACAGACATCAGCATAACATCCCTTTGTCTACAGTTCCAAAGAAATATATCATTATCCTACTTCCCTACTTAGGGTTACAAAGCAACCAAGNTCAGTTATTCGAAAATGTACACATTCACACGCAAACTCAATTGTTTCGCATTTTACATCCAGTCTACAGCTTATTTAACATAATTTCATCTTTAACTGTCCATATTGAAAAATCACAAAAGAGGATTGCAGTCCTAAAATTGTTGCATTGCTCCGAACAATGAGGGGCCCTCAATAGAGATGTAACAACTTGGCAGGATAGTCAACACCTCCTGATAAGGATTGTTTACAAAGCGTATCACGGGGTTTCTCTATTTCCATTTCGTTGAAATACTTCACAACCGAACCGTGAACCAAATGTAAGCGGAATATAACTAGTTCAGAAACATGTTTCACGTGTGCGGATTAACGCTAATTAGTTCAAAATTAGGTCTACTGAAATAAAACGCAAAAAAAAACATTGGACTGTGAAGTACGTGGCTACAGGAACTAAGGTTGTGTGTTACAGATACGAAACGGGAGCAAACAATTATCTAACTCCAATCATGATCCAATGTATCATAGTTTAATGTTTCATGGATGAAGCCTATTTTAGGACAAAAAAGAGCGAAAGATCTGCAAAGGGCATAGCCCATCATGCATCACTGCAGATGTGCAACAGAAATAAGTGTAGTGTTCGAATATTTGTTTACTTAAAAGAAGTTTTATAAGGGTCAAACCTGGAAAACCATGATTTTCGCTGAAATGTTTGTACTAGCCAACGTTCAACAGCTTTATATCTGTACTTTTTCTTCCCCAGAGGTTACTGTGCCTTGTTAAGTTACTCGTGCTGGTATAGTAAGACTACGACCCAGGTAGCACACGTTCACATTATTCACACTCATCTTTTCCCGGCAGTGGTCCAAAAAAAAAAAAACTAGCGCCTGGAAATGAAACCATTTCTGCCTATCTCAGAACTCAAGAAACCCTTCGAGTAATCATTGCACCAGCTAATACAGCAGACTCGAGTGCGAGTCGGTATACCTACATAAGTCAAATACGGTACTTGCATTTTCAGGGAAACAGTGGTTTTGAAAATTTAACTCAACTAGTTAGTTATTTAGTATTCTTTCCCAAGAAGGTAGCCAAGTAAGCAGTGATCTATCCCCCTAAAATATGGGCGAGTCCAAAGCCATCAATGCATCATATGGCGAAATATCATAGAGCGTAGCTGATGCGTAATGACAAATTTAACACATGCCTGTTGTCAGGTCAGACCAGAATGTTCACGCCTATTGGAAAAAGACTGACATCTAGATTTAACAAGAAAAAAGGAAGTAAAAAAACCTATGTTTTGCCTATCTCCTTAATATTTCCTTCCAAGATGATAAATTTAAGAAGTGAATGACTACTTCTTATCGAAGTCCAAAGCCAATTAATGCTTCATATAGCGATATATCATTGACCATGGTTTGATATATCAAAAGGAACTCGGCGCCTCGAACTTAGAGCCTCTCGTCTACCCCAAACCAAGCTTTGCACTAGGCGAGGGACAAATTGTCATGGTATGTATGTTAACAGGAGGAGAGAATATGGTTGCTTGGCTAAGAATTAGGTCAACTTCGTCTTTTGGCCCGGAAAACCTTC